TGTTCGTGAACCGAATTGTTCGTGAACAGAAGCGTTCGTGAACTGAGGTACCACTGTAATTAGGAGAGCACATGGCATTTAAATAGAAAATATTTCCAAAATTGCAAAAGCATATCAAGTAAGAAGAATATTTAAACCAGCCTTCTCTAGCCTTATGTCCTCCAGAAGAGATAATTTATGACTATTGTTGTTATTTACAAAATAAACCACTAGAAGTCACCCAGACGTCCTCAGAGAAGGTATAAAATAGCTTTAAACAACCAACAAAAAAGGTGAAGTATGAATTGTGCCATGCCCACATTAGTTTAGCATAGAATTTATTTAATTTTGTTTAAAACGTTTGTATACTGCTTCCCATTAAAAAGTTTCATTTTTAAAATATTGGGATGAATTTAGCCATTCAAGAAAAGAAACAGAATCTGTAGTACATTTTCTCCCTGGATTGGTTGCTCAAAAGTTGCCTGTAATGTAGGACATTAATCATACATGTATCTGCACTGTTACAGTGAGGGATGGTTTTGTGTTTTAGAAAAAGTGAGATTAGTTTAGTTATTGAGCTGAGCAGCAATGCTCATGAGGCTGGAGTTAGCTGGTAATAAGAGGCCATCTGTTCTGGAAAGCAGAATGGTGGGAAAGAGTGAAGATGAAAGAGCAAAGGGCAGGTGGGAAAAAAGGGCAGGGAAGAAGTTGAAGCCCTATGTTACATTTACACCATCTGTTCTGAGCGCATAATTTCATAGGTATTCACAGGCAAATATGCATAACAGAGTAATATAGTATAAACAATAAATTGAAGCTAAGGGGGAAATTGTCTCTTTTAAAAAAAAATGATTGGTGGCTAACAAGCTTTATTAAACTGCTTTAGTATTTTTCTTGTTACGATGTAACTCCTTTAGGTTGTCAAATGATATGTTTATTCCCTCTCCCAGAGAAGTAGAACTCATGATAAAAGAAGAAGATCATACAAAAATTATTGAAGAGAAAAATCAGGAGCATGCAGATCAGTTGAAAATTTTGCAGGAGAAGGTCTGGACAAAATGATATTTTAAATATCGTTTTAAAGATCTTTGTAAATGTGTCTTGGTTTTTAAAATGATGTTTATCATCTTCAGATTACAGAGCTTGAAGACAAACTAAAAATATATGAGAAACTCCCATATATGTTTGGAAATAGTATTTTATTAGACTCTGTCACACCAAGTACTGAACAATTGGAAGAACATTTTGAAGTTAAGGATGATATGCAGGAAATTGAGTCTTCAGTGGAGAAATTAGATTTTTCTGGTGAGTAATAAATCTATTGGGATGCTCAGTGAACTGTGGTATGGAAACCTTTGACAAGTGCAACAGGTTGGATTCCTACCAGGTGAAAATACAGAGTATTTGCTGTTCTTCATTTGTTCTTGGAATTTTAACTACTGCCAGGCAGAATAGATGCCCAAGGGACAATCAGACTCAGCTAATCCCTGTTCAGACATTTTTTTCTCCCCTTGATTTGGGGCTTTCTGTCTTTCTGAAAGGAAAAGCCATCTGAGGAGCTGGCAGAGGGAATTAAGTATTGATTTTCTGACCCTAGAGGAGGATTTAAAAAAAAAAAATTGCAGATCCTTGGAAAGTATAATTTGGAAACATAAAAAGAATTGTGATTTTATATACACACACACACACACTATATTTTGTCACTATAATTTTGTTGCAGAGTATATCTATCCTCTTTTACATTAAATAAAATTCTGAGAAATTTTAAATCTGTCAAAGAGTATAAACTTTACAATCTGAGTGACAGAATAAATAAGGTCTTTTTGTATTTTCGGCAACTACAGGTAGTCCTTGCTTAACAACGCTGATTGGGCCCAGAAACTCTGTTGCTAAGCAATTTGGTGGTAAGTCAAGAAACCATGTGACCACACCACTTAGTGATGGCAGTTCTGGTAGGCCTGGTTGCCATTGTTAAGCGAGGACCTCACTTGACCACAACTTCTGATTTCCTGCCAGCTTCCCCATTGACTTTGCTTGTGGGAAGCTGGCCGGGAAGGTTGCAAATTGCAGTCACTTGATCACAGGATGCTGTGATGTCATAATTGTGAGCCCATGATGTCATAATTGCGACAGCTGTAAGTACGAGGTCCAGTTGTAACTACCCCTCATTCAGCACCATTGTAAATCTGAACAGTCACTGAATCAGTTAAATGAGGACCACCTGTACTAAATGGTATGCAACACATTTTTAAAACGTTTTAAATTATCATCTACTGCAGCTGGTTCAGTGATACATACCTTCTTTTGTAAAACAATATGTCAGAATCTAAATGGTTACTTGTCTGATTGTATGAAGTTACAAATGAAAGGGAATACTGAGTAATTCCATAATAAAATGGGATGATGAATAAGTGCTGTAGTAAACTTTTTAATAAGTAGCTATGCATTTGTTACAGATTTTGATACCTTTGTTGGAGACCCACCAAGGTTAGATACAAGTGCACATAAAGCTAAGGCCCAGCTTGCCTTGAAAGTAAAACGCCAGCCACCTTCTCGGTCAAAGCTAAAGGAATCTCTTGGAGCTAAACAAAAAGATAGAAACTCACAGGTATAGCATTCATTTTATTGGGTTTTTCCCAGGTATAATTTGTTACTTTGTCTACAGTGAAAGCATTCATGAGATGAAATGCATAATCGACTCAGCGTTTCTGGCAGATGACCTAAAAGGTCTCTCGTTCCTTTGTTCTCCCAGCTTCCCAAACAAGTAGATTTAGTCCATATTTAACATGGTGTAGATGGTGTTCATTCTTCTGCAGCTTTCCAGTAATTATCAAGTCTCAATTGCTGGGTCATTTGGCAGACTTTGACAAGAATATTATGCTAATAGGCATATACAGTTCCTTAAAAATATGGATAGTTAACGAGGACACAAAGGGATTTTATATTATCTCTTTAGTCTCACTTCTTCCCAGCACGTGCAAGCACTTTCCTTCTTGGAAAATAACTTACATTGGGTAGAAGAGGATAAAGTAGTGATTACATTTGTTACATTTTGTTTGAGGATCTGGGTTTGGCTAGGAGGTATATAATTTCACAGGCCCTTTTCTACTGCTTAAGGAAATACTTATTTCTTACTCACAAAACTGATTTTTCCTTAAATTTATTTCAGCTGTGTGGAAAATCATTACTAATGCGGAACAGAGGAAGAATTTAAAAATCAATTTAAAACATACAGCTCACCCTTGTTTGTGATTAGCCCCATAATCTATTCCGAGACAGCTGAGTATGAAAAAAATAAATATTTATAATAGTTTATTTTTAAAATAGGTGAAAACAAAGCTTTAGTATGCTGTTGAGTACTATATCTGGGCTGGTAGGAGATTAGAACAGACAATTAAAATAAGTTTACCTATACTGTAACTTTGCATTTATTTATATGAGTTTTTTAAGCTGGAAATCCATAGCGTTCTCAGTATATCTATTAATCTATCTCTACTTCAGCAAAGGTTTTACTAAATTATTTTATGGTTATTTCAAATCTGGCATTAATTAAGAAATACATTGTGCAATAACTGTAAAATATTCTCTTAAACCCTACCTACCTGGAATATAAGAATCTAGCTTGCAACACAATCTTTGAAATGTTTGGAAATTTGAAAAATCACAGGTGTCAAACAAAAGTAACTTCTTCAGCTAGAAAGGCATATATTTGTCCTTGCTATCTTTTAAAAAAAATCTATTTGGGTAATACTACTGTTCAGTTACATGCTTTTTGGAGTACATAGATTTGAACAGTTCCAATCAAGAGAAGAACAAAAAATCAAGAGATTTTTCCTGTTTTTATTTGACTTTACAGACTTTATTTGACTTCTGCTGGTAGCTCTCTTGTCCTAGCTAAATTGGTGCTAGCCTTCCAGTGTCACTTAAGACTTCACAGTCTCAGGTTTTATTAGTTTCTTAGGTGTTATCTTTTACAGTTTATATTAAATGCTGCATACTGACTTAGGAGTGCTTCTTTTTTATCTGTATGGTGTTCTTACTGATTTTCAACTGCTTTGTTATTTTATTTGTTTTGGCTGCCTTTCATATATTTATACATAGAATGGTTAAGCTAATTATGTTATTATATAATAAGGTACATAATTATTATGTATGTTATTACAAAAAACATACAATGTTTACATAATGTAATATATAATTACAGTTACATTTTAATGTTTTATGTAATATTAATCCAATTACATTGCTTATTTATATTTGTAAGTACATACAGATGAAAAGATGTGATGAAAGTGAAGTTGTTACAAATTAATCTGGTACGACAACTTAAGCTATTTAACTTGGTTTGATAAAGAAAGCGGTATTCAGTAAGTGAATATCTCTAGAGAAGGTATTCCACAATATCTCTAGTGAAGGCACTACAGAAAAGAAACTATCTCTGTGATGTTACCTTAAGTTATTCCAGCAAGGTGATTCACAGCAAATTTTGATAAAAGCTTTAACAAATGGGCAATATAGGAAAGTGTCGCTCTTGAAAAGTTGGTCCCAAAGTTGCTTAGAATATTAATGCTTTCTTAAACATGTTTTTAGGTTATTAATGATGACACAGAAGAAAATGCCATGAGCAAGTTCTCAGAAGTGGCAGAAAAGGTCATTTCAGCACAGCAAAGTGATACAGATATAAAAATTGATAAACTTGAGTGTGCTGAAACCTGTGACCTTTTATTAGAACCAAGTCCATCAGTTTCTGTGCACTCTTCTCCAGTATATAAACTGCAGACAGAAGACACTGCTGGAACATCTCAGTCACCACCTAACGATGATTCTGCTCCAAACTCTCCTTCTGGATACTGCCGAAATGTTAAGCAAAGAGAATCAAAAGGAAAGGGAAAAGTGAACAAAGGTAATCTTAAGATGTTTGTGGTGTGTTGATCCATAATCATTGTGGATGGAATCATTGTGGATGGAAGAATTTCTTATTTCTGCAGAACCTGTGGGTTTTCTCTGAGAAATTTGGGGAGCTGCTTCAGAAAAGGCACAAAGAGAATAGAGGGAAAGCGGGAGGGGAAATAAAAAGTCCCCATTGCACAATGGAAATCTGATAATGTTCCATTCAGTATAGTCCTTTATGTCTTAAAATGATAAAATAATAATTACTCCATAACTTCTAGGCATTTGTAGAGTTACGGTGGCACAAAAACATTTTAACATAAATTATAAGAAAATTCAGTCTTGCTAAAGTTAGCAAGCTCTCCATTACAATCGCATGGTAGTGTATTACTGTTAATGTTGCAAATTGTATTGCTTTAGGTCCTGGCTGGAGCTTCATCCCTTGCACCTTGGTCTTCATACTTTATTGGCAATTTAATGTATGATCAGGATTTATATTACATCTTTACTGGCTAGATTTGGTTGATGGTTTGATTTACAAACTTTTTTTTAAGTTAATGTTCCCCTTTAAAAGGGCTGGGAGAGGGATTCATTTCATGTAAAATCAGTCATATCCCTTAGTAGAGATTTTTCCAGTTATGGATGCTGAAGCAACCCAATAATTGAAATGGCCCCATACAAACATTACATTGTTATTCTGCCGTTATGTGTTAAAAATTGCTATGGACTTTATTCTTGTATATTGCTATCAGAATACTTTTATAGAATAATTTATAATATAAATGAAAGATAGAAAAGAATTTTTTGTCTCAGTCAGAAATGGGTGTGTGTCACTTGAGATCCCCTCACTAAGACAAACATGTACATATTAGTTTCATAGTAATTGTGCATCACAAGTGTAGGCTTGTCCCTGTGTGAACCATCCTTATTTTAGTGGGACTATCCTTCCTTCTACACAGGCCTTCCCTGCCCCGCACATTGGTTTCTCTTCCCCTGGCAGAGTGGCAGCATGATGAGAAGTATTCTTCCCTCAAGTGATGATCAGCAATTCATCACCACCTTATTTTTATTTATTTCTGTCCCTCTTATTTTCTTAAATATCTGTTTAATATTTTGTTTTTGTTGCAGTGCTTTTCACAAAAATCTTTGTAACTCATGGCCTTGGTTTTATTCTTCCCAAAATGTGCTGATTGTAAGAATGGATTTCCTGCTATGGGCGATAAGATGCGTATAAGAAAAAGTTTTTCAATATTTAGTGGTCATTAAATGTTCTAAATATCATGCTGACTTGAAGGAGTTCATATAATTTCCTAATACAGTGGTACCTTGGTTTACGAACTTAATTCGTTCCGTGACTCTGGTCGCAACCCGAAGGAAATTTCCCCATAAGGTTCAGTGTAATTATCAT